CTGGGGACTTTAAAGACAAATTATGTGAATCTCCCATTTTTCAGATGGAGAAACAGGCACAGAAAGGAAAGTGATTTGACTGAAGACACAGCAGGAGAAAAATAGAGTCTAATTAGAACTGAACCAGACTTTCTACTGAACTAGAAAGCGAATGTCTGTGTTAATGGCAGTCCACACTCCATCATTATTGTCTCCATGTCTGTGTTAATGGCAGGCCACACTCCATCAGTATTGTCCCCATGTCTGTGTTAATGGCAAGCCACACTCCATCAGTATTGTCCCCATGTCTGTGTTAATGGCAAGCCACACTCCATCAGTATTGTCCCCATGTCTGTGTTAATGGCAAGCCACACTCCATCAGTATTGTCCCCATGTCTGTGTTAATGGCAAGCCACACTCCATCAGTATTGTCCCCATGTCTGTGTTAATGGCAAGCCACACTCCATCAGTATTGTCCCCATGTCTGTGTTAATGGCAAGCCACACTCCATCAGTATTGTCCAGTTGGTGGGCAGCCTGTTGGTTTGAAGGGCATGAGTTCCTAGAAGTATCCTTCCCATCGTCCCTCTGGACCACAATATTCCCAGAGCCTAGCACCAATGCTGGCACCTAGGGGGTATTCAGAATATTTTTGAATTAGTGAATGAACTGATTCCCAGTTCAGATTCATTCCTCTCTTATTGTTCTTGGAACCTTCCCACATTGTTACTGCTGTTTCCACTTGTCTCCCTATCTGATGTGTTCTTTCTGTCCTTCTGCAAGCTCAATCCTCAGGTCCCCGTTTAATGTTCACAAACAATCCCACCACTTCTCTTTCTACTTTAGTCTACAGGGACCTCATTAGCTTATGTGCTTGGGCAAGTTTCACAACTTTCTAAGCCTCAGTTTTCTCACCTACACAATAGGGATAGAGATAGTAACAGTCTTCTGAAAGCTGTTATGAGGATCAGCAAAGCCAGACGAGCTTGGTGAGCACATATTACACATTCATGGCAATGATGGTGGTGTCAAGGTCAACATCGTCATCACCTCGCCTAGTTCTACAGCCTACAGGAATTTCCATATGTTCTGCTCACTCTTATAGAACTTCAATTTCCACTGAATGTGCTCCTTTCAATAGGACCAGTCAATTTTTTTTGTGAAGGGCACAGGTGTGTGTGAGTGTGTGAGTGTGTGTGTGTGTGTGCACATGTGGGTGTACTAGAGGCCCGCTATTTGGGAAGCCCTGACCTATGAAGGTATCATCAAAACCCTTGCCCACATGGAACCTTACAGTTTACAAAGTACTTTTTTCTTTTTTTCTTTTGAATCTTAAAACAGCACTTAGGAGTAGATGATTTTACTTTTGCCTTATAGGTGAGGCAAGGTGAGTATCAGAAAAGGGAGTTGATTTGTCACAACAGTAAGTAGAATATGCAGAATTGCTATAAAGGATCTAGGATCTGGAACCAGCTCTGCTGACTGTCAAACATTCTTTCCTCAGCATCTCTATGCACAAGACAAAAGGATAATTAGAGGGCAAAGCAGAAAGTGTTTCCTCTGAAGGAAGTGCTGCCACTGGTCAAGGAAGAGGTAGCTTGGAAGATGTTCACAGGTGTCACCATCCAGGTGGCAGGACTGAGTGTGGGCTCGGCATCTGCAGCTTCATTTCCATCCCATACCTCTCTTCTATCTCTGAATTTTTAAACATGCTCTCTGATAAGCTGAATTCTCATTTGGATATTAATATGAATCCTAGCTTTCCCTATTTTTTCTTGTGACGGCATCCTAACTTCGTTCAAGGGTTGACCCCTCAGGAAATGGCAAAACCTAAGCATAAGACAATCATTGTTTGGCAATGGTTGGTTTAGAGTTACGGACATGAGATCGAGATGTGAGGGAAAGTGTGTTGAAGAGCTTCTGAGAAAGGTTTCCTCTCTCTCTTATGATGGAAACAAACGGATAGAGTCCATTTCTGCTACTAAAAGTGTCTGGATATGTGGCTAGAAGCCTTGCAAGCCATTCTTCATCAGCACCAGGTTGCTATCTTGCTACTGTCCTGAGGAATGAGCCAATACACGGTTGGAGGTGGAAACAAGGGCATTACAGAGACGCAGAGCCGGGTGCCTGATATGCCACATTGGGATACACCCTACTTTTGGACTTCTGGTAGCCCGAGATAATACATTTTCTTGTTTTTAAATCCATTTGAGTTGAAGTTACTGTTACTAGCAGCCAAAGGCCACCTGACTCTTTGTGGCTCCTATATGCAGGCTGCTTAGTGACTCAAGAAGTTGTCATTTATGGTGTCAACAACCTACTGAGTAGACATCGGAAGTGATTAGTCACAAATAATAAAAACAAAACAATTAAGAATGTTTAGACCAGTACCCCTTAAACTTTATCATTCATGCATCAGAATCAAATGGGATGTCTTGCTAAAACGTGGATTGTGGGAACACACCACTATAGTAACTAACTCAGTAGCCCTATGGTGGGGTTTAAGAATATAATTTTCTATCAAGTTCCCAGGTAATGCTGTTGCTGCTGGTCTGAGGACCACATTTGAGAAGAACTGATTTAGAAAACTATATAATAATTTCCCTTATCTTATTAGCATATAAATATCATTTATTGAATAGAAGAACAGAAAGTAGAACTACGTCTAGGAGTCATGCACCTGGAAACTTCTAGCTGATGTGACTTGCATTGACTACCACCCTTACCCTGTGTATTGTAGAAATAAAGACTGAGACTTAGGGCTCCAAATGTTTACTGTTTCAGACTCAGAGAGCTTAGGATATAGGTACAATGATTGAGAGAGAAAACAAAATGAAAATGAATCTCCTGTCTTTATGTTTCACTGGAGACAGCAGCTAACATGTTTGAGAGATCAAAAAGATACTATTATTATTAATGCATCATTGTAATCACTTACACTTTATAAATTCCTTCTACATCAGAATCTCATTTAATCTTCATATCAACATTGTAATAATGATCATTATGATTATTATGATGGCCTTTTCTCAAAGATGGCAGATAGGAGGAATGACTAGCTTGCAGCTCCTGCCCGGACAAACAGAGCAGCGTGGGGAGATTCGTATGGTGCACTTTTGCTCCAAGAACGACTGCAGGAACATATTAAGAAGCCAAGAGAATCCACAGACCCTTTGAAAGAACAAGATCACTGCTATAGACTCCTTGAGATGCTGAAAAACTGTGAGTCATATTGCTTTCTCAACAGAGAGGCTTGTGGTCTGGGGCAAGTTCTCAGCACTGGCTGCCAGCTGCCTGGAAATAAAACTTGGCGCTGTTGAGGGGACACAGTGGAAGTGAGACTGGCCTTTAGGACTGTAGGCTGCATGGGAGCGGGGTGAGGCCTGTGGCTGCCAGCTTTCCTCCACTTCCCTGGTGACCTGTATGACTCAGCAGAGGCAGCCACAATCCCCCTAGAAACATAACTCCATTGGTCTGGGAACCACACACCCATTCCCCATAACAGCCATAGCTAGCCCCTGTGCAAATAAATTCTACCTTTTAATAACTGTATTTATATTAAAATTCATGTTTGTCTATATGGTTCTGTGATCAAGTTATTAAAATGTCTTGTCACTGTGAATCATTTGGGTTAGTAGAAATATGACAAAATTATTAAAAGCTACCTATAAATACATAACACTATTGTTGTCTTTTAAAGGTAGAAAGAGGATTATATTAAAATAAGTTCATCTCTCATGTTAGATATGAGGAAATTTTGTAAAATATACTAACCAAAAGCATCTTGGTCATAACTGCTAACTACCAGCCTGAGAGATTTTATTCTTTAATACTCATTTGAAACTTTTGTATTATGAATAGTCAACAGCTAATCTGCTGAAAGAAATCATAGATGATGCATACAAATGGAAACACATCCCATATTCACAAATAGTAGAATCAATATTATCAAAATGACCATACTGTCAAAAGCAATCTATAAATTCAGTGCAATTCCCATCAAAATGCCACCACCATTCTTCATAGAACTAGAAAAAACAATCCTAACTTTTATGTGTAACTAAAAAAGAGCCTGCATAGCAAAGCAAGACTAAGCAACAAATCTGGAGACATTACATTATCTGACTTCAAACTATACTATAAGGCCATAGTCATCAAAACTGCATGATATTGGTGTAAAAATAGGCACACAGGCCAATGAAATGGAAAGGAGAACCTAGAAATAAAGCCAAAGACTTATAGCCACTGACCTTCAACAAAGAAAACAAAAACATAGAGTGGGGAAAGGACATCTTGTTTAACAAATGGTGCTGAGATAACTGGCAAGCCATATGTAGGAGAATGAAACTGGATCTTCATCCCTCACCTTATTACAAAGATCAACTCAAGATGGATCAGGGACTTAAATCTAAGACCTGAAACCATAAAGATTCTAGAAGATATCATCAGACAAGAGAAAAATCCTTCTGGACATTGGCTTAGGCAAAGATTTCATGACAAAGAACTCAAAAGAAAACACAACAAAAAACAAAGATGAATAGACAGGATTTAACTAAACTAAAAAGCTTCTTTCACAGCAAAAGAAATGACCGGCAGAGTTAACTGACAGCCCACAGAGTGGGAGATAAACTTCATCATCCATACAACTGACAAAGGACTAACATCCAGAATCTACAAGGAACTCAAACAAATTGACAAGAAAAAAACAAATAATCTCATTAAAAAGAAGGTTAAGGACGTAAATAGACAATTCTCAGAAGAAGATATACAAATGGTCAACAAGCATATAAAAAATGCTCAACATCACTATCAGGAAAATGCAAATCAAAACCAAAATGTAATACTACCTTACTCCAGCAAGAATGGCCATAATCAAAAAAATCAAAAAATAATAGATGTTGGTGTGGACACAGTGAAAAGGGAACACTTTTACATTGTTGGTGGGAATGTAAACTAGTACAGCCCCTATGAAAAACAGTGTGGGGATTCCTTAAAGAACTAAAGGTAGATCTACTGTTTGATCCAGCAATCCCACTACTAGTTATATATCTGGAGGAAAATAAGTCATTATACAAAAAAGATACTTGTGCACATGTTTATAGCAGCACAAGTCACAATTGCAAAAATATGGAACCAGCCCAAATGCCCATCAATCAATGAGTGGATAAAGAAAATGTGGCATATATATGCCATGGAATATTCTTCAGCTATACAAATGAACGAAATAATGGTATTCACAGTGACCTAGATGGAATTGGAGACTACTAATCTAAGTGAAGTAACTCAGGAATAAAAAACCGGACATCGTATGTTCTTACTCATATGTGGGAGCTAAGCTAAGAGGTTGCAAAGGCGTAAGAACGATACACAGAACTTTGGGGACTCCAGGAAAGGGTGAGGGGGGGCGAGAAATAAAAGACTACACATTGGGTACAGTGTACACTGCTTGGGTGATGGGTGCACCAAAATCTCAGAAATCACCACTAAACAACTTATTCATGTAATCAAACACCACCTGTTTCCCCAAAATGTACTGAAGTAAAACACTTAAAAGAAAAAAGTTTTTTAAAGAATGAGGATGAAGAGGAAGAAGAAGAAGAAGAAGAATTGTCAGCAGAGGTTAAATAGAAGGAAGAGGATTACTTCCATTGTATAGATTTGAAAACTGAGGCTGAATGACTTTTCCCTGTCATACAGCAAGTAAATCCCTGAGCTAATACTTTAACCCAGTTTTGTTTTCCACTAAATTCTGTATTGTCTCTACTAAAGCAGCTGCGTTTTGTCACAGGTATTAACCATGAATAAAAAAATAAAATTTAGAAATTCTAGGGCTACCATGCCTTTCATTCTTGCTTCAGAAACATCTCAGATGCTCTAAGAACCCACCAAGCATCTTCACTCAGCTAGGAACAAAGACCCCAAAACTAAGATAGAAAAATCTAGAAGTCAAAACAACTACTCCAATGCTGTAGGAGACTCTTTCATGACCTCACCTGAGGACTATTAACTGTTATTAAGATAAAGTTCAAGAGAGCATGCCTTTCTTATTACCAATCCCATTACATAATTCAGAGCCCCCTCCCTTTTTTTTTTTTAAATGACAGTTATAATAAGTGACAGAAGGCAGTGTGGTAGCAAAGGAAGAGACAGAAAGGTCATCAAAAGCAGACATAGAAGTCAAACTTGCTCTGGAGATGATTTAAATATTTTGAGATCGACATTTTGATCAAAAGGAAAGACAAGAAGAAAAACAAGAAAAAGCGTGCCTATTTCCCTAATGCTCCTGAGTAAACCAGGAGCATCTGGTCAGCAGCAGAGCTCACTCAGCCTCTCAGGTCAACCTGGTATAGAAAAAAAGAGCATGGTGACTTGAATAGGTTACTAAATATCTCTGAGCCTCCACCTGCTCAACTTTCAAATGGAAGGTCATCATGCCTTCTTTGCAGCATTGTAGGGACTGGCAATATGATATAGAAAGATCTTAATTGTCTCTGGTCTAAAGTAGGCCCTAAATAATAGAGGGCTCTTGTTATTTTGTTGATAATGGCACATATGAGGCAGTGGGCAAAGAAGAGGAGCTGATGGGATGGCTACCAGGTTTGGCTTGGTTAAACATGCGCACTTCCTATTTTACCCAGCCTTTGAGGCTTCAAATATTATTTTCTAAAGTCACAATTTGCTAAACCAAGCAGTTCACCTTTTCAAAGCTTCAACTTCCAAAATCCATAAGCTCCAACAAAAAGAGAACTGAAGGGGAGAAGTAGAGCACCACTACAAAGGTACCTAATTTTTTTTTTTTTTTTTTTTTTTCTTTTTGAGACAGAGTCTCACTCTATCGCCCAGGCTGGAGTGCAGTGGTGCGATCTCGGCTGACTGCAACCTCTGCCTCCTGGATTCAAGCAATTCTCCTGCCTCAGCCTCCTTCTCAAATGGGCCTTACTTCTCAAATTATTACTCAGATACTTTAAAAGCCTCCCATAACAAGAACGAGCCCTTCACAACACAGGTAAAAGACCAGAGCTGAGTCCCATGCGGAAATAATTCTCTCAGGGGCTACAGATGCAGGGACTATATTTTATGGCCAGTGCTGGGTGAATTTTTAGCAATGAGAGAAAGGCCAATTTTTTTTTTTTTTCTTATCACACAGTGACATAGCTTAGATGCTTAGATTTGGACTGAATTATATCTTGCCCTAAAACTCTATTATGGATGTTACCTCTCATTTCATTGACAGAGTATTTCTAACATGGGTGGGACTCCCTGGTGGAAGACAAGGAAAGGTCATTCTTGGTGGGAGACAGATTAGGTAGCTCCTATTGTTTTAGTGGCTTCTGCCTATGTCTGCATCCCACACCAGAGTAGGAAAAATATCTTCTTAAAAATTTTTGTTATAGTCTTACCTAATAGGCATATGTGAAACGTAACTAGATTGACTGGAAGGCAAGTATATTCCTGGAACATAATACTTTACTATTTCAGCCATAGATCATAACCAACATGGGCAAAAATGTTTCCATGGGAAAATGTGGTCAGAGTTCCCTTCTGTGCTGAGGTGCCAGAAACACCTTTCCCTTGCAGGCTTTCACTGCTTTCTGAGAGGCAGCCTGGTTTAATGGAAACACCTCTATATTTGGAGCAAGATGACATGAGTTCCAGTTTAGTTTTCCTGCTCTATGAGTTGAATGACCCTTAAACTCTCTAAGTCTCAGTTTCCTTCTCTGCCCAAAAGGCATAAAAACTCCTACTCCCTTGGTGTTTTCTGAACTGAAAGGAAAATAATGTTGGCAGAATCACTTTGAAAACCATAGAGTTCCCTGTACAGTGTTGAAAAGTTGTTAGTATGTCTCCGATCTGCTGGGATGTGAGCCCCTCACACGACTTCCACATGAAAGATGGCATTCCTTCTCAGGGTTACATGGCCAAGGTATCCATTCTCCTCTGTAGAGATGTGCCTGTTTCTGTCTATAAGCTACCTAGGCATCTCTGATCCAAAAGCTTCAACTCCCAAAATCCATAAGCTCCAAAAAAAGAGAACTAAAGGGGACAAGTAGAGCACTGCTACAAAGATGCCTGAATTTTTCTTTTTTTTCTTTTTGAGATGGAGTCTCACTCTGTCACCCAGGCTGGAGTGCAGTAGTGTGATCTCGGTTCCCTGCAACCTCTGCCTTCCAAGTTCAAGCAATTCTCCTGCCTCAGCCTCCTGAGTAACTTGAACCACAGGCACATGCCACCATGCCCGGCTAATTTTTTGTATTTTCGTTAGAGACAGAGTTTCACCATGTTGCTCAGTCTCATTTTGAACTCCTTAGCTCAGGCAATCTGGCTGCCTCTGCCTCCCAAAGTGCTGGGATCAGAGGCAAAAGCCACCATGTCTGGCAAATGTGGAAGCGACTTTGGAACTGGGTAACAGGCAGAGGTTGGAACAGTTTGGAGGGCACAGAAGAAGACAGGAATATTTGGAGAAGTTTGGAACTTCCTAGCGACTTGTTGAATGGTTTTGACTGAAATGCCGATAGTGATATGGACAATGAAATTCAGGCCAAGGTGGTTTTAGACGGATATGAGGAACTTATTGAAACCTGGAGCAAAGGTCACCCTTGCTACGCTTTAGCAAAGAGACTGGTGACATTTTGCCTCTGTCCTAGAGATCTGTGGAACTTTGAACTTGACCTAAATAATTTAGAGTCTCTCTAGCAGAAGAAATTTCTAAGCAGCAAAGCATTCAAGGGGTGACCTGACTTTCTGGAACACATGTGGACAGTATGTTCTGTAGATCACGCTCCTTCTTGGGGTTCTCCCGACAGAGTGTAAGCTGTAGGGTGGAAGATGTGGCATAGGAGGAAGTACCAGAGCATGGGAGCATGTGACTACTTAGGAGGTGGGACTTCCTCATCACCTCTTCCCCCATCCAGTCTGAGAGCCTTTGTAGCACAGACAGCTTCTGCCCTTTTTGGCCACTGTCATATATATATAATCAAGCATCAGATTGAAACTCACATCCAAAAGCTATGCCTCTCATCTCATGAGACCTAATAGAGGTCCATGAATTTGAGTGATTGTGGTAACCTGGGGAAGCAGGCACAGGAGAATTATTTAGCAAGCCACCTACATTCAGTGGCAGTGGCAGAAGGAAGTATTGAGAATTTCCAGTGTGCCTTCTCACTCATTTACCCTGCAGGTGCCAGCTTAAGCAAAGCTCCTACCACACTGACTCCTTGCTGAAAGGTCCTTTAATAATTATCATGGACCATGGGCCTGAGAAAAAGGTCAAAGCTCTTTACAGTCACCCTAAACAATGCAATTCCACCTACCATTCCAGATCTACTCTCTCCACAAACCATCCCCTACAGATTTGTTCACCAACAGATCTCCCAATTTCATACCTCTCTGCTTTTTCCTATGCTGTTCCCTCAACTTGGTAGGTCATTTCACCTTATCCTCTTGCCTGTCCCCAGCACAGTTCTTCTTATTGAAATCTTACTCATTTTTAAGGTCCAGCTCAAGTGCCATCTCCTCTAGGAAGACCTCTGTTAATCAAAATCTCCTTCACAGCCCACTTTAATTGTTCTTCTGTAATCCAGAGCCAACCTCTATTATTTGGTGCTGATTTCATTCACAAAAAGGACAAAAGAAGGTTCAGATACACATACATGCTCCAGTTCTTGTATATGCATGTGCATCACATTATGGAAACAGCTAAAAGACCCTCTTTCCTTGCCTCTAATATGGGAATAATCATACCTACTGTGTGGGGTTGGTAAAAAATTTGACAAAAGAGGCTGGGTGTGGTGTCTCATGCCTGTAATCCCAACACTTTGGGAGATCAAGGCAGGAGGATCACTTGAGGCCAGGAGTTCAAGACCAGCCTGGCCAACATGGTAAAACTCTGTCTTTGCTAAAAATATATATATTTTTAAAATTAGCTAAGTACAGTGGCTCATGCCTGTAATTCCAGCTACATGAGAGGCTGAGGTGGGAGAATCGCTTGAACCCAGGAGTCAGAGGTTGCAGTGAGCCAAGATTACACCACTGCGCTCTAGCTTGGTCAACAGAGCAAGACAGTG